TGCTCTTTCTAATCTACGAGCTTCTGGTTGGACTCTGAATGTCGCTGCTATTCTGTCCATACAACTGCTGCTTTTGCCTGGAGCTAAGTGAGTTAATAATACTCACCATTTCATCATCTACTAAATGTATTTGCTGAACTTTATGCAAAAGGTCATTTGGAGTGGTTCACTTGTGAGATCGAGTGTTACTGCAAGTATCAGTGTCCTCGAGGGTATAATAATGTGTGCAGAAGTATTAATTAGATCCTCCAAGACTAGTAAAATATGTTTTATAAAACTGTGATCCTCGCCACGATGACGGTTCAGTGTTGCATTACAGAGAACACGCCAACGCTTCTCAGTCCTCCACGTCCGCTCTAATTGTACATTTATATTTTAAGCGTCTGGCTCCAGCCCCAAACTACTTCCAGTGAGTGCAACAGTAAAACAAGCTTAATAAAATACGCAACCGCCAGCAGTTAACGTCCCCGTAGCCCAATATTAATCACCGCTAATGAATCATCTGCCTTTATTGACCACAGTCAGAGCTCTGTGAAGATGGCAGAGGAGAGGAACACTGCTCCGTGGCTTATCAAACTTTGGCTGCCGCGACCAGCGTTCCCACTTTGAGCCGAGCAGCCTGGCTGGAGGTTTTGGCAGCAGAGAGCAGAGAAGCCAAAGGGCTGACTACAGCAGAGCAGCAGGGGATAAAACGCCAGAACTACTGTACCTTGTGGTGTGTCACTCTGCTCTACTGTAGGCTGTACAGCTTGTGCCACGTTGCACGTTTTTCCTTTGCTGTCCATACACAAATGCCAAGTTAGGCGAGGGTTCGAAGAACAAGAGAAATAAAGAGAAATAAGGATAAAAAAATAATAGAAGATAAATAAATAAGTACAAAAATAAGTAAAGGAAGACGAGTGCGGTTTGCAAATGTTGATGTAGATGGATGTACAAGGAGCTTAATGTGCAAAATGAACTTAGTGTCTGATGTGCAAATTGCAGTTGAGGTAGGTCAGCTGTTCAGGAGTCTGACAGCAGGGGGGAAGAAGGAGCTGTTGAGTCGGGACGTTCTGGGTTTCATACTCCTAAACCTTCATCTGGAGGGCAGAAGTGTGAACAGTCCGTGTTGGGGGTGTGTGGGGTCTTTGAGGATGGAGGCAGCGCTCCTCTGGACTCTGCGATGGTAGCTGCTCTGCAGAGAGGGCAGCTGTGTGGTGTTCAGTGTCCTCGCTGATGTGGACGCCCAGGTACCTAAAGCTGCTCACCCTCTCCACCTCACACTCCTGGATAAACAGCGGCTGGTGAGGCCTCTTCTTCTTCCTCATGTCCACAATCGTCTCCTTTGTTTTATCAGTGTTGAGGGTTGTTGTCCTCACACCGTGACGCCAGACCGGCATTCTTAACATTTCCTATGTTTAGGCAGGAAGTCCATAAAGCACCAAGACTAATCACGTGCATTTGTTGGACACTAAGGTTCAGCCGGCTAAATCACCAAATCAATCGCTTTCTTGCCAAATCTTGATCTTGGTTAAGGATCTTGTCAAATGCAACAGCCAATGTGCATCTTATCCTGCTTTGCTAGTGCAGTGGCAAAAGTGGCGACCGTGGCTCAGGGGGTTGGGAAGCGTATCTGTAAC